GAAAATGAAACCATGGAAACTTTTACTCGAACAACCTCACTTCACCTCAGCATTTGCTAGACTARGGAATTTCCCAATGGATACTGACGTCGAAGGTTCACTCAACAAATTTGTTTGTCTTCTTTACGGCGACACTATTTCACAGAATGTCGACGAATGCAGGTATAACCTTCTAAACATCTTGCCTAGTCGTCCGTCTGACGTATTTAGTGAACTTCCACCTTCCTCTTTATTTCGCAAATGCAAATACAGTACTGTCATGAGCTATTACTTACTGATTTAATTATTGATGATATTTAACATAAAGTCCTGAGAGCAATATTTCATTGTATGCAGGTATAACCTCTTCAAGGCGGGAAAGTGTTCGGATGAAGCGCTGCCGCCAAACACCGAATGCTTGAAAAACCACATCGCTCGTACCAACTACCAGGCAGCCTCTTGGAATGGTTGTCTAACGTCAATACTACTACTTCCATCTCCTGTGGGTAATGGGTGGGAGTTAGATGGGGACCAGCAACTTAAAGTTTTGTGGATGACGTCCCCATCTGCTCCAGAGTCAGTGTTAGAATTTGTGCAGTGCAGGTGTAAGGGCGGTTGCAAGACGCAAAGATATTCGTGCCTGAAATCAGGTGCACTGAGGTGTGCTCGTGCACACAGTGCCGTAATTTTGCCCCAGCCGACAGTGAGGAATCAGATGATGACGATGACGACGATGAAGATGATGATGAAAATATGTTTAATTCAAAAGAATAGGTAAGAATATAAGTCCTTTGCAAGGTGAGGTTTATTTCATCAAATTACATAACGAGTTTCCAACCTGGAGGAATGACAGAAATCTTGCGTCAACTAAAACTAGAAACACTTGAAAAACGTCGTAAAATAGCAAGGCTAACTCTTTTCAACCGGGGTATAAACAAGATGGCAGTACTGCCACTTAATGATCTTCAAGTTCCTACAAGAAGACTAAGGAACATGCATGCAATGTACTTTAGACCGTTATTTGCTAGAACCAATATATATAAATTTAGTTTTTTACCTAGAACTATCATTGATTGGAACGAAATCCCACAGAACATTATCGAACAAAGTAATCATCACATTCAATTTGTTAAATTAATAACAACAGTAATCAAATATTATGATATTGTAATATGCATCAAACCTCATGCGCTGTGCAATTTATTTTTTGTTCTCAAAAGGTAGCACAATAAAACTTAAGTGAAGTGAAGAAGGTGACACATAACATGACACGGTGTTTGTTAATCTAATGATACTAATGATATGAAATCTTGATATCATAATTTTTCGAATTAAATTGCAAAAAAAGTGAATAAAAAAGTCGTAAGATACTTTACGCATTTTAAAACTTCATTTTACAAGCTCTGGAAGTATTTTTTGAGCCTGTACTGGTCAGCGTTTATTCCCTCTAAAATAGCAACTGCGCGTGYGCATTTCCCGAAATCCAAGATGGAGGACATCAAAACAAGGTTCAAAATTCTCGAATTTCCACAGGCTTTTACTCCAAAACCGCATTACGKGAGAAGCAAAGACTTCATATTTAGATAAAGTAAGTAAAATTCTATAGATTTGAGTAGTTATATTGTAGTTAGCCTAAAGTTAACCTTTTTTGAACGAYAATCGACTACAGAACACGGCCTATTTGGGTGGACAGCATTGCAAAGTGTGTATTACAATTAAGAGGTCACTTCACGAAAATAATGACTTAAAAGTCAATTAAGGATGACCTGGTTTCTGTTGGTGCCGAGTTATTAATCCCATCATTTTAGACAGCCGCAAGCAGTTTTCTAAAGAAGAAGCTGACATAAACAAGAAAGTAGCTTGCTTAAGAGTCCATGTGGAGAGATGTATGGAACGCATTAAGAATTGGCATATCTTTGATGCTAAAATTCGAATTTCCTTAGCACCATTTGCATGTGATATATTTGTTGTCATTACAGCTTTTACAAATTTTCAGCCACCTTTAATTTCATGAATTTTTTGCAACTAATAAGAGTCTCTTTGAGTTTGATTATTAAAGATCAATAAACTCTTTCAAAAAAGAACCTGATCAGTTCACAGTAATCCCATCATAACAAATAGACACTAATATTATTCATAGATTGTTTATTACCTTGTTTGATATACAGCATTTCATAGAGTAAATTGAAACATTTTCTGTAATATTATTAGGACTGGGACTGTAAAAAGTACATGATAGACATAACATAATACATGATAGACATAACCAATATACATTTGCTTTTTTTGAAATTCGATAAAGTTTTAAGATTAACAATTTAAAACCAGTGATACTGTTTGTTCTCCTTTCACGGTAATATCTATTCACAATGAGTAGTGTCGTCTGAGAATAAGTTTACATGTGCTTGCCCATATCTGATGTGGGGATATGCAATCTCTGATAGTATGTGCCTCATAAAAAATGATTCTAACTTTGGTAGCACATCATTCCNTTTTCTAAAGAAGAAGCTGACATAAACAAGAAAGTAGCTTGCTTAAGAGTCCATGTGGAGAGATGTATGGAACGCATTAAGAATTGGCATATCTTTGATGCTAAAATTCGAATTTCCTTAGCACCATTTGCATGTGATATATTTGTTGTCATTACAGCTTTTACAAATTTTCAGCCACCTTTAATTTCATGAATTTTTTGCAACTAATAAGAGTCTCTTTGAGTTTGATTATTAAAGATCAATAAACTCTTTCAAAAAAGAACCTGATCAGTTCACAGTAATCCCATCATAACAAATAGACACTAATATTATTCATAGATTGTTTATTACCTTGTTTGATATACAGCATTTCATAGAGTAAATTGAAACATTTTCTGTAATATTATTAGGACTGGGACTGTAAAAAGTACATGATAGACATAACATAATACATGATAGACATAACCAATATACATTTGCTTTTTTTGAAATTCGATAAAGTTTTAAGATTAACAATTTAAAACCAGTGATACTGTTTGTTCTCCTTTCACGGTAATATCTATTCACAATGAGTAGTGTCGTCTGAGAATAAGTTTACATGTGCTTGCCCATATCTGATGTGGGGATATGCAATCTCTGATAGTATGTGCCTCATAAAAAATGATTCTAACTTTGGTAGCACATCATTCCAAAAACCTGAGTTAAAATTTACTCTTTCAACATAAAGACAGTCTCTTGTTGAACCTTTAACCACAAAGTCTGTCCATTTTTTGCCAGTAACGAAGATCTCCTGCTGATCTGATAGTAGTATTTGTGTTTAGTGTTAATGGTAATGCTTTCTTTCAAAAGGCAGATTCTCTTCCATAAAAGAGCATCATCCAATGTTTCTGTGTCCAGTGTCTGAACATATTTCATTTCCAAAAGACCACTGCTTTCCTCAGAAATGTCATCAACAACACCATCTGGGCTCGCTCCAAGGTAGCAATAGTTGCGGTTACACTAGATCCTAACTCAGAGGTCCCAACGGGGAAATGACTTGAGGTGGGTTTCGATCAGGGCTTTGAATGAACACACGTTTGCGGTCACACGCAAATAGAAACCCATATAGTGAAGAATTGAGCATTGTATATCAAAGTATCAAATTGAAAATTCAACGGAAACTTTGTAAACATGGAGTTAGATCGTAAAGTAAATCTGTGGGTTAATACTCACAGCAAAGCGAGGAAACTAGCTATATTATTATTCGATGCGAAAACTGATCAAGAATTATATTAAAAGGTCACGCAAGAAAAAATAACAACATGCGATTTCCTGTGTTTGGATATTATCTGGTCTCTGATTGGTAGACACGCTCTGGGCTTCTGATAAACCCTACTACTTGATTAGGGAACTGTCATGGGTTATTCTTTTGTTCTTTTTGATGTATCTATGGAGATAACTTCACCTTGGGTTAATCGGTTACACACAGAAACGCATTAAAGTTTCTAAAGAAGAAGTACAGCAGATATGGCGTGACAAACTAAGGTCATCGCCGGGGCAAAACCCGCCTCACTATATCAGATTTCTCCGAGTTTGTTGCGAAGCTGATTGATTAGCGTTGAAGCAAGCTTGCTACTTCAAATTATTCAAAACTAAACTGAGGCAAATTACTGAATTGGAACAAGTATTGCATTTGAGCCTGTTTTTATCTTGTGAATACTAGCTGCGTTTCATTGAGGTAGATTACTGTTTTAGTCCCTATTAATTATATTTCCGATACAATAGTTGGCGAAAATGGAGTCGCTTGAGAAGATGTTCTTATTGAGAGACCAGGAGAGATTCGAGATTTCCTACAACCCCTTGGGTGATGGATTGTGCTTCTACGCAAGCGTTGGACATCAACTTGGGCTTAGTGCTATCACTGTCCAAAACATAATCTTTGATTACCTACGTAATCATAGATACGACGTATGTACTAACTATCAACCGCATAATTTTCAAGCGTTGCTCATTTACTCTCTTGCATCAGTAGGCAGTATGATTTATAAATTATATATTATATCTGTATGGAACACAGTCTATAAGCCGAAGAGACACGCCAACGTCCGGCGACAGGAATTTTTCCGATATTCTCTTTGAAATCAAACATTCCTTCTTTCGAAAATGTTCATGCTTAAATTAGAATATGAATGAGTGGAGACAGAAAAAACGTATTGTCATCGGACGTGAGTACCTTTGACATTATTTGTAAGGTATTGGCACCCATTCTCGAACAGAACCTCTTCTCGAACACTTTTACTATTTGTCGTTTTTTGCTATTAAAATGTGTCAAACACTTACATTCTTGAAGTCACAGGTGTCTTTGTTGACAAAAGAGTTGAACTTCATTGCTACCTTCAGAGAAAATGTCCCTTTAAATCTGTGGACTGACTGTCCTCCAAGCCGCGCGAAAATATTCAGAAAATCAAGGCAAAAGACGAAACAAGACAACGGAAACAACAACTGCACCACTTCAGCCATTTTGTATCCCAGGGGCCAGTTCGATCTCATAACAATTGAGCCTGTAGCCGTCCAGCGCCGTAAAAACCACAGGCATCCCAAGAACCTATTCTCGAACACCCAGATTTTGCAGTGTCAGCAGATTTTTTTTTAAA